GCTCAGGGGAGACGCAGGAGAACGCAGGAGAACACAGAGACCCAACGAATACGACCCGACGAGGAACAACACAGAACAGGAGGCTTATATACAAAGACAAGACAAGACGTGTTTACAACAGCTGTGACGAGACAAAGGTGGCACCAATTAAACTGACGAGGAAACACTAGGGAAACACAGACACAAACAGAAACAGCAAATGGTACCATCCTTACACCATTATCGTAATGTCACTTGAAACAGCTGGTTTGGTCTTTTTCAAAGAGGGGAATGGTTTTGGCTCATCCGCCTCTCTTCCATTCTAAACTACAGAAGTGGCATAATGGAAAATGTGGTTTTAAACTGAGGTTTTAATCTCATGCTATACCTTAAAAGTCTTCTTATTCAAAAAGCTGGCCTTGTATAAAAGATATTGCAGATTGGTGACACACTACTAAAAGGTAGCATAAGGCTAAACAAAATAGACAGTGATGAACAAACTCACACAAATTGTGAAACATTAACAAGAAGTGACAAGAACAGATAGTTACGTATTCATGTTCCATTAACGAGACCAAAAAGGCATTGTGAACTAAATTGCAAAACAAATTTTCTACTGCAAATATAATTTTTGTGCTGATTTGTCTCAGACAACAGTTGATTTAACTCATTCCATCGTAGCCAGGTTCCTCCATGATGAAATGTGTGAATTGTTCCAACGAGCTCAACCTTTTAAGCAGAGTTATCCTGACAGCTTCAATCAGAAAGGTCTGAGGCTGACAGCCTCCCAGAAACAATACCTGCCAGTTTTACCATAAAAGCCAAGACAGAACAGGAAAAAGAAGTCCTCTCTGAGAATTTATTTATTTATTGTGATGTTTGGATGATTTTTGATTAAAGGTTTGCCTTCGATGTGAGCAAACCTTCAGGTTAATGAGCAAAACTGTAATTATCTTGTAAGTCAGCGTTATGGTCAGCCTCAACAAACTGTCAAGTGTGCGCATGCAAACACTCATCCTGTCACACTGCTATGAGCAGAAACATCCGTACAAACACACCAGAGTTTAATCCTGTTTCTCATGAGTGCAGGCACCGGTTGAAGGAGGAAGGAGTTCGCCAGCAGCTTATTTTCAGCTCAGTGCTCTTCCACTCTGAGGGATCGGGAAGCTTCCTCTCATTCAGCGTTGGAAGGAACGGCAGAAGCATAAATTATTAAAGCAAACGTGTGCAGTTGAAAATGTAATATTATTAGAAAGTGCCTTTAAAAGCACTTAGTTCTTCTTGCAGCACGCTTTAGGTTTCTTGACTCCAGTGAGCCATGTTGATCAGCATGTCGTAAATCTGAATCATGCCTGTTATGAAACGGCTTCTCAACTGCAGCGCTGCTTTTTAGCAAAGCACAGTCTGATCTCAAGGACGAGATAAAGAAAAAAAAATGGCATATCATGGGATTTTCAGCACTCGGTCAATTTCACCCTTTGCCTGAAGTGTCCAACTTTCTACAGCTTTTATTGCACCAGTTCTTCATTTTTAGGAGAGTAATAACAGTCTTGCTGTTATTTCATTTAAGATAAAATGACTAAGGATAAATCTTTGGTACTAACTTGTCAGATTAACTATATTCTGCATTTTTATGTAGTTGTAGTTTCTTCCTTTCTCTTATTTCATTTTGTCTTCATCCTGATTTTTTAAAATATATTTTTGTTTGCATTACCTTATTTTAGAGTTGTTTACACATTTACTAATATTAAAGGTGATCATATTTGGAGCCCTATGACCAAATGGCTTTTCTTTCAGTCATATTAAGAAAAGCAACACCCTGCAACATGATTTGCAATAAAGTTGTCTGCAATGGTCTTCATTTTCTGGTTACAGTTTGGTTCAGTCATGGTTCTTTCACCACAAAACAAAAAACTATTAGCTTTGCTAACAAAAGCTTTTGCTTTAAGTTGTTTAATCTATTTTTTGTTGTCTTTACTTAGGCCTGTCACAATAACAAATTATGCTGGGTGATTGTCTCAGAAATTATTGCGATAAACAATATTATTGTTTGAAATTTGACAATAATTAGTACTTATTGTCAATTTAAAGAAGAAACATTGGTTAATTTTTATGTGTAGTACCTTTTTTGACCACTGGATGGCAGTATAAGACTGTTTGAACTGAAGGATGGATAGTGAGGGAGCGAGCAGCGTATCTCTTTAAGAAAAACGGGAGAGAGACCCCTTGAGTGACATGGGCTGTCTCTCATTTTGGTCCTCAAAATGGCGGACGCTCGGTGTGGTTTGACCTCTTTAGCATAGCATTTTTCACACAAAGCTTTTAATTAAAAGTCAGTAAACAAGTTCTCAGCTTCTTTTTGCAAAGAAAAACAACTTTTTTAGACAAAGGCACGGGTTTCAACCGTGATTTTTGGAGTTTTGACAAGACAGAGGTTTTTTCCCGATGTCGGCCTGTTAGCTTAGCTCATAGCTTAGCTTCCCAGCTTAGCTGCTTTTAACAATCCAAAAACATGATTTGGGATGGTTGAAACAGATTTTAAAGAGAAAAGAGAAAGGGAGGATTCATTGAAGAGCACCGGAGTTGATCTTTTTGTCATCCAGTGTCTTCAGTAGAAAGAGAGAGACACAAAGAATCGATAAAGACGATAAATGAAAATGAGATTGATAATTTTCATTTATCATGCGATTAATTGACTTATTGTTTATTATGACAGGCTGTATGTTAATAGATTCTCTCTTACCTTGAAAGAAGAATTTCTATCTTGTAGCCATCCCAGTGTATTGTGTCAACGTCCCCTGCCTTTGGAAAATTGTCTTTTGCTGTGAACCTCAGATTTATTGACTCTGGCCAACAGCTCCACAACATTTATTGTCACTTCTTTTAACATCTCCGAAAAAGATTCATTCTTACAGTGGAAATATCAAAAAGTCTCTTCACAGCGGGAATTCATATTTTGATGCATTTTTCTTTTCAAACCAGCATCAGCTTACTGAGTTTTCTCTCTCAGTCACTGAAAATCTATCATTATTAACCTACAGCCAGAAGAGGGTATTTGCAAAAATAAAACAGAACTTACAAAATAAAAGAATGACAGATTTACATTATAATACAGAAAATAACTTCTTACAGCTTGTGTTTTTGTGCTACTTCAGGCTTTATTTTTAAATATTTTATGGATGTTTCAGTGAGCTAACTCTGTCATCTACTCAATAAAACTTTCACAGTGAAGATGAGCTGCTAGTGGGAATTAGCAGCTTCACTACTACGTGGTGCATTCACTGATCAGGGAGAAAAAGGATTTATGACCATTATAGCCTCCCTGTGGCTATCAAACTTTACAACTCCTCCCCCTTTCCACACATAGGACATTAAAATTAATCCTGCACTTAAATAAACACTTTAATGTTTCTGTTGTCACCTGACCTGTTTTAGACCTTAATAGTTGGTATTTTTATATTCTCTGTTTTTTTTTATTTTTTATATATTCTCTTTTTTATATATATATCTTGTGTGGTTCCTTGTGTGTTCTTTGTATTGATACTTTGGTACAGTTTCTTGCAGGATAAATAAAGTTGTTATTGTATCTTATATTGACTAAAATCAATTACATCAGTTAAGTTTAAAAAACCAATTAATCCCTATTTCTTATGTTATAGAATCATTCAAATTTAACATTTTACATCAAATATGTTACTAAAGCTGCACAGTACTATTGTCCATCCGTCCATCCATCCTTCATCTTTACCCGCTTTTTCCTTTTCGGGTCACATGTGTCACTGGTGCCCATGTCCAGCAGTCCCTGTGCGAGAGACTAGGGACACACTGGACAGGTCCCCAGTCCATCAGAGACAAACGAGACAAATAACCATTCACTCTCACTCACACCTATGGACAATTTAGAGTTACCAATCAGACTAACATGCATGTTTTTGGTCAGCGGGAGGAAACTGGTGTACATGGAGAAAACCCACGCATGCACATCGAGGACATGCAAACTCCACCCAGAAAGGTCCCCGGCTGGGATTTGATCCAGCAACCTTCTCGCTGAGATGCAACAGCTCAACCAACTGAGCCACTGCACCACCCAATACTATTGTATTATACATAGGCCTGTTGCAAAAACAATAAATCAATTAATCTTATGATAAATGGAAATGATCTACCTCATTTTCATTTATCAGCTTTATTGTTTCTTCGTGTCTCTCTCTTTCTACTGAAGACACTGGATGACAAAAAGCTCAAATCCAGTGCTCTTCACTGACCCCTCTCTTTCTCTTTTTTTCTCGTCTTTAAAATCTGTTTAACAGTCCAAAATCACATTTTTGGATGGTTAAAAGCAGCTAAACTGAGCAGCTAAGCTACGAGTTATGCTGACAGGCTAACCTCGGACAAAAACCTCTGTCTTGTTGAAGCTCCAAAATTCACAGTTGAAACACGTGCCTTCGTCTAAAATCTCGTTTTTCTCTGCAAAAAGAAGCTGGGAACTTGTTTACTGATATTTTATTAAAAGCTTTGTGTGAAAAATGTTATGCTAAAGAGCTCAAATCACACAGAGCGTTCGTCATTTTGAGAACCGAAGAGAGAAAGCCCATGCCACATCAAAGGGCCTCCCTCCCATTTTTCTTAAAGAGACATTCTGCTCTCTCCCTCACTATCCATCCTTCTGTTCAAACAGTCTTATACTGCCATCCGGTGGTCATAAAAAGGTACTACATGCAAAACAAATTAACAGACATTTCTTCTTAAATTTGACAATAATTACCAATTATTGTCAAATTTCAAACCATATTATCGTTTATCGCAATAATTTCTGAGACAATTAATCACCCAGCAAAATTTGTTATTGTGACAGGCCTAATCATACTGTATTATATATTGTATGTATTTGAGTATTCTCAATTAATAACATTTGTTTTTTTTTGCATCAAATATTTTTTCCCTAGCAAATGTTTGTTTACTCTGCCACATCCTTAAAAACTCTCTCATCTGATTATGTGTTTGTTTGTTTGTCATTACAGACATAAACATGGCAGGTGAGCCCAAACCGTACAGGCCTAAACTGGGCTCCAAACGGCCACTCTCAGCTGTCTACAGGTAAGATTCACCCTTCTTCCAACATAAAGTCCTGCTATTGCTTCACATATTAACCAGAATTTTTGGCATGATTCTCCAGTTTATGTTAATCCACATTAATCTTTAGAATATGATGAATTTTGCAGATTTTTTTAAACCTTGAATGTCAAATAGGCTTCATGCTTTTTTACATTTCTGTGGCCTGACGGCAGTTCTTCCTGCTCAAACATGTAAAGCTCAAAGGAAATATGTATAAGCTTCATTAGTCCTGATTTTTTTAGGCCTCTTGGTCGCAAAAAAGTATTTTGTTTACTGCAGTATAACGTGACGGCGATCCAGACGTGTTTTATATTCATAGACACTGTTAGCTCACCCAAAGGAAACATTACCATTTCCATCAATTTAATCTTGTGTTTATTGTTGCTTTGTTTCATCCCGTATCCTATTTTACTAATTTATTAGCTTGTGCATTGTGTTATCATAAATCTTCATTTGCATTTTATAGCTGCGGCTGAAAACAGGCATAATGTAAAATGGTAATTATGAGCCAGGAACACAAAACCAACACTTTTTGTTTCCTAAAATGGAATAATAACATACATCCTAATTAGGGTTCCTTTGAGAAAAACAGAATTTTATTACAAGTCCTTCTGTGCTCATTATGTCTTTTAGTTTGTTTCAGTTGCCATCCAGACCAATTTGTTTTTAGGGTCTTAGAAAAGAGCTTTTTGTTCTCAGTTTTTTTTTTTTCCTTTCAACAGTCAGTAAACAGACAGGCACACATGTGGTCAGAACAGTGTTGTTTCACTTGTTGACAGGATTGTCTTTCATGCCAGGGATGATTTTTGGTCTGCAGCTGTGTCTCTCAACACACATATCTAAAAATAATACATTAAAAAAAGCTTCAGGACATTTTGGGAGGCTTTCACAAACATTCTGAGTCCTATGTGATTTCTACTTTGAGATATTTTACATTAATTTGGGTGTTAGCCCCTATTTTTTCCATTTGGGGGGTGGGTGTCAAATTTAGCAGGTTGTATGTATATGAATACTGATTTTTAGGACCAAAAAACATTGGATTCATTTATTAATTATCAGCTGCCATGTGTTCTTAACATCAGCACTATCCCACCTGATCAACCTTTTCTCAACCTTTTATGCCCTCAACACCTTTTTATTGTTGATAAATTTCATCATAAAGTTCATCTGTGTTTTTGCACACCATACTAATGAAGATTATTCCCCCCCACCTCCCCATTGTCTGTTGAGTTTTAGCCTGAAAATGTTTACACGCTATTTGCTTTTAATATACCATACCATACCAATTTATTTATATAGCACTTAAAACAGCAACAAGGCCAACCAAAGTGCTGTACAAAAGAACCAAACATGCACAGCAGACAGGAAAACATAAAATAGAAATACAGATACAAATAGCAGCAGAAGCTAACTAAAATGGCCAACAGAGTAGAGAACAGACCGGACCAAAACAAATCACACCGTGTTAAAGGCAAGCGAATAGAAGTGGGTCTTCAAGCGAGACTTAAAGACTGAGAGTGTGGGAGCCTGCCGGACACTCAGTGGCAACTCATTCCACAGTCGTGGACCTGCAACAGAGAAAGCCCTGTCACCTCTGAGCTTACGACGGGTTTCTGGAACTGAGAGAAGCATCTGGTCTGCTGACCTCAGAGAGCGCGGTGGGACATATGGCTGCAGAAGATCAGTGAGATAGGATGGGGCGGAACTGTTCAGTGATTTAAAAACATACATGAGAATTTTGAAATGGATCCGAAGGTGAATGGGTAGCCAGTGCAGGGAGGCCAAAACTGGCGTGATGTGCTCTCTATAGCCTGTACCAGTTAAAAATCGGGCTGCAGCATTTTGGACCAGTTGTAGACGAGCAATGGAGGACTGACTGATTCCAAACAGAAGTGAATTGCAGTAATCAAGCCTAGATGTTATGAAGGCGTGGATCACTGTCTCAAGGTTCTTTTTGGAGAGTATAGGCTTCAGCTTAGACAGCCGTCTCAGCTGAAAAAAACAGGATTTGACCATCATGTTTACGTGACTGTTGAGTTTTAAGGAAGGGTCCATTATCACCCCCAGATTAGTCACCTTTTGTTTCTCTAGCGGGGCTAGAGAGAAAAGGTCAATGTCATGGTTCATGAGTGAGCCACTGGGATGGAACAGCATGACTTCAGACTTCTTCTCATTGAAGCTTAAGAAGTTTAAAGCCATCCAGTCCCGGATGTCAGCCAGGCAGTCAAGAAGAGGCTGAATAGAGCGTGTGCCTCTGTGCCTCAGGGGGGAGTAAATTTGGCAATAATCGGCATAGAAATGAAAGGGTATGTCGTGTTTGCGGAAGATAGCACCTAGTGGCAGCAGGTATAAAGAAAAGAGAAGGGGACCGAGGATGGACCCCTGCGGTACCCCCCACTGGAGTGCGGTCGATGCCGAACTAAAATCTTTGATATTGACACAGAAGGTTCTCTCAGAGAGGTAGGACCCAAACCATTTAAGGGCTGACCCTGTGATGCCCACCCACTGCTCCAGTCTAGAAATGAGGATATTGTGGTCGATGGTGTCAAAAGCAGATGTAAGGTCCAATAGGACAAGCAGCACAGAATCACCAGCGTCTGTGGAAATGAAAATGTCATTAAAAACCTTCAGTAGAGCAGTTTCAGTGCTATGGAGAGATTTGAAGCCAGATTGGAATAACTCAAGGATAGCGTGATCCCCCAAAAACTGTTTCAACTGAGACTCCACAATTTTTTCCAGTAGTTTAGAGGTGAATGGGAGTCTGGAGACAGGCCGGAAGTTGGACATGACTGAGGGGTCAAGGTTAGGTTTTTTCAGGAGGGGCTGGACAGCAGCATGTTTAAAAGTTTTTGGCACCACACCTGAGGATAAACTGCTATTCAGAATAGTGAGGATAAAAGGACCCAGGGTAGGAAAAACTTCCTTTAGTAGTCGAGGGGGGACCACATCAAAGGGGGAACCAGATGGCTTCATGCTGCACATTACCTGCTCCAGAGAAGACAGAGAGATGGGCTCAAAGTGGTCAAACACAGCCACACACTGAGATGGGATGGACAGATCATGAGCTGGTGGAGAAATGAGTGCCCGGGTGTTTGCCACTTTTTCTAAAAAGAAATGGAGGAAGTTTTCACACAGCTCAGTTGAGGCTTCCAGAGGTGAAGGCTCACTGAGGTGTAGAACTGAGTTCAGGGTGGAGAAAAGAACTCGGGGGTTGTGGGAGTTGGAGACAATTAAATCAGAAAAGAATTTACATTTGGCAGCTTTAACGGTTTTCTGATAGTGACGCCAACTCTCCCTTAACATTTGAAAAGACACCTGGAGCCTGTCCTTCCTCCACTTTCGTTCAGCTTTGCGACACTGCCACCTAACGGCTCGCGTGACGTCATTCAGCCAGGGCTCTGATTTAAGTTTTGTTTTTCTGGTCTTAAGGGGAGCAACACGGTCCAGAACATTTAAACAGGCAGAGTTGAACTGAGAGGTTAGCTCCTCAGTGGTAAGAGACACCGGGAACTGTTCGATCCTCTCAGAGTTAAAACCTTCATTAAAACGAGCAGCAGTGAAACGGTTAATGGAACGCGTACGTGCAGGAACGCACGTCTTAGCAGTATGACAAGGGGGGGTGAAGTCAAACAATACAGGCATGTGATCTGAAAAAACATTGTCACCGATTTTCAAATTAGAAACAGAGACATCGCATGTTAAAACGAGGTCCAGCGTGTGACCATGTTCTTGGGTGGGGCCGCTCACCTGCTGAGCTAAATTAAAAGAGTCCAATAAATCCAGAAAGTCCTTCACTAAGGGCTTCTCCTGACAACACACATGCAAATTAAAGTCACCAATAAGCAAAAAGTGAGTGTATCTCTGTGTGATATCAGCCAAAAAGTCAGAGAATTCATTTATGAAGTCCTTAGAACGAGGTGGGCGGTAGATGAGCGCACACAGGACCGGAGGAGAGTGTCCAAGTTCAAAGGCGCTCAGCTCGAAGCTGGCGCGGGACACCGGGATGGACAACTGTTTACAGGCCAAGTTTGCTTTAAAAACTGTTAATAATCCCCCCCCCGCGCCGACCTGATGGCCGCGGGGCATTGAAACATACACAGTCCGGAGGACAAATAGTATGACAAATAATATGACAAATAATATGACAAATAGTCAAAGTGACTCCGTTTAACATGTTTGTGTCCTTGTTTTTCTGTCCTTCGTCCTCCTTTTGTTTCTTACAGCGGGTATGAATTTGACTATGAATACTACAGAGATGATTTCTACAGCCGGTAGGTTTTATTTCTATTTATCATATGCTTGTGTTACTGGGAATATGAAGATATTAATAAACATGACCTGATCCACTCCCTGCTAGCTTTGATTTATAAGGAATAAAACACTATTTACTTTATGAAAATGGCAGCTATACAACACTCACTAATTCTAACAAAGTTGTGATGTTGTGTTATACTGTGTGTATATATATATATATATATATATATATATATATATATA